GGCCCCCCCCCCCCCCCCACCCCCCTTGCCTTTTTCCGCAGAACCTTTACGACAGCATCAAAAATGAGCCATTTAAAATCCCGGAGGATGACGGGAATGATCTGACGCACACTTTCTTCAACCCCGACAGAGAAGGCTGGCTCTTGAAGCTCGGTATGTTAAAAAAAAAAAAAAAAAAAAAAAACGTTCGAACAAATAATTGATCAAATCGACGAATCGCCCAACCCAACAAATCTATGTCTTCCCGACATTGGTTGATTGACAAGATGAAGGACAATACGCAACTGGACTAGGAGGCCACGTTTTAAAGACCTCTTAGCCCCCACCCCCTCGATCCAATCCTAGAGTGAGTCAGACCATGTAGTCATGCTGAAGCTTTTACAGAATGGACTTGCGGGGAATGCGTGCCCGCTGCTGTGCGGCTGCCCATGTCGCGAAATAATGGAGACCTTCTCCCCTCTTGATTATCCTCCCTCTCTGGTCCTGACGGGCTGCCAGCACTCCACCCCAGCACGCCCCCACCTTCCTCTGCATTCTTTGGCTCTGGCTTTTCAGTCCCCGGCCAGCCGCACTTGCCAGATCAGCAAGTTAGGTCCCCCAATCACTGAATTCCATTTTCATTTGAACAGCATCAGAGGGGACGGATTGTTTTGGATGAATGAATCGCTCCGTTTTCCTCTCGCCGGTCCCAGTTCAGTCTGAGAAATACTATCGCGGCGCACCATGGCGGTCCCGAGCATCCTGCTGCGTTTCCATCTATCAAGCCAAGCGTCCGGTGGCGGCCGCTAGATTTTAGTAACAATGCGCCAGACCTCACATTTGGAAACGGGGGCACTCAACAGTTGTCGGATACAGAATCAAAAAGTGAAAGGCCCCGCAGGGTATTTTTTTTCAGCCAGAGAAATACATTTTAATCATAAATTCCCGCGTCAGACGTGTTCCAGATTGTGCAGAGTGCTGAGCCCAAAATGTCGTTTCGTATGATGCAGGTTAATTACATCACTGCATATCCACTAATCCGAATAATCTACTTTTATGAGACGATGGCGGCAGATGGCAGGATCGCGTCTCCATAAAAGGAGATTTCCTTTCGGAGAAGAATTGCAACTCAGCATTTTTTGCCTCCAAGTTTGGCACAAGGCCTTTATTTGTCAGCGTGACTTGTCTGTTCAAAAATATAGATTAATATTAACTCTTTCATGCACCCTGTAACCTGATAACATGGCGAGCTGTCCACTGTCGTAACCGCTGTCGTTGAAAAGGTTAAAAGGGCTGGTTTTTTTTTTTTTTAATGCTATGAGAACGACAAGCCTTGAATGACGTCCCTGCTGACCCCTCCCATCTTGCCGTGTGTTCACACTTCCACCTCCTCATCTGGAATTCCTATTCAAACCCTTGTTGATGCTTTTTTTTCGCCCCACCCCCCACCCCCTCTGTGCGCAGGCGGCAGGGTGAAGACGTGGAAGAGGAGGTGGTTCATACTCACAGACAACTGCCTGTATTACTTCGAATACACAACCGTAAGTATCATTTCAAACGTGCAGGATTCACCCGGGGGCAAATCGATTTCTTTTGCTCAAGTGCCGCATTTGATTTTTAAAACGACGAGGCAACAAAGCAAAAAGTGCCCCATTTTGGTTCCACTGGGGAGTGAACCCAGGACCTTCTGCGTGTAAAGCAGATGTGATAACGACTCGACTAGAGAACCGCAATTTGTTCGCTTTTCATATTCGGGGCGGCGGTCTTAAAAAAAAAGAAAAACGGCTGACATGTAGAGTAAGGTCAAAAGGTTATTGCCTGCCAGCTTGGCTCTTTGACTCTGACCCTCACGCCAACATCAGTCCTCATGGGAAACATCTGCACGCTACACGGCACACATCTGGCCCTGTGCAAAATGATTCAACCTGCTACATGTCAATACACGCCTGGCACTGCGAGACAACACACACACACGACTGTGAACATTAAGTGTTAGATGGACACACACACACTCCCCTTCCTGTGCACTCTCATTTGGCGTAAGATGACATGAAGGATGCAGGGCACTTCCTCAAGGTTCACACATACACAACACACACGTGGACACACACATGTGCGCGCACACATCCGGCCCTGTAGCTATAACGGTGCACGGGCAGGAGGCAGGAGAGCGCAGGGTTACGTCTCCCTGGGGCACTGTCCCCTACATGACCGGGATGAACAAGAAAAACATTTAAATCGCCACCCTCGAGGTGTTACTCCGACACATTTTTCTCGGCTCGGGTTAAGATTGGAAATGTGCACAGCAAATCCTATTCCATTTTATTTGGCTGTTTTTCCTGAGAATATGTTATTTTTTTTGTTAAGAAAAATTTTTGTGGGGGTTGGGGGTTGTTTCTTGAGACTGAAAATGGCCACTTTTGTCATAGGTTTAAAAAAAAAAAAATTAGTCATGCAAACGTACACTTTTTTTCAGGGGGGAAAATAAAATGGCCACTTTTGTCATAGGTTTAAAAAAAAAATTTAGTCATGCAAACGTAAAGAGAAACGAAAAAAAAGCATGCGATATTTGTGGAGAAAAAAGGTAGATGTCACCAAAGTACGACCAGATAACAACAAAGTAATCTAATGGTACTCTGCCAAATGTTTAGTTTTAGTCTTTAGTTGCAAGCAAAAATGTGGAGAATTCACTCACCTCACTTCCCAGCAAGCAGCAGTTTGGCAAGTAATGGACGATTCTTCGAAATAAAGAGCTGCGAGCTTTTTATTTCCACTCCCAGGTGAATTTCACTGGAAAAGTAAAGAAGAAATAAAGAGAATTACACAAGGTGTGTTAAACAAAGCACTTTGTCTTACAAAAGTCTGCTAGCTTCATGCTAACACACAATGCAAAACACCATAGATGGGCTACTGAAACTAGCACTGACATGCATATTTGAACACATCTAGACAGACACTACAGTAATAATCACATGTATATATTCTTTATCCTCAGCAAAAAACAACTAAGAATATTACATCTTACAGAGCAGCATGAGCGTCTTTTTCGTGCATCCACGTATTTTACTCTCTGCTGGCCAAGGCACGGGCCCATTGAATTCAAACATAAAACTAATCGTTTAGTTCTTTGCATTCTATTTAATTATTTTTGCCTCGATAACACTGATGCTTCTTTCCAGGATAAAGAGCCACGTGGGATTATCCCCCTGGAGAACCTGAGTATCCGAGAAGTGGATGAGCCTAGGAAACCGGTAAGGACACACGTCAAGATTCCTTACATGTTCTTTGAGGCTGATTTTCACACAATCTTGGCTTTTTGGTATGCAAGAACTGCTTCGAACTCTACAACCCCAGCCACAAAGGGCAGGTCATCAAGGCCTGCAAAACGGAAGCGGACGGGCGCGTGGTGGAGGGCAACCACGTGGTTTACAGGATATCGGCCCCCACACCCGAGGAGAAGGAGGAATGGATCAAATCCATCAAGTGAGCACGGCTGTGTTTGTACGGATCCATTTACACCGAGGGGGCACTTAGCCACATCCCATGTGTCGGCTTCTCATGGGTGACCTTGACGATGACACGCCACTTGTACGTGTGTGTGTGTGCGTGTGTGTGTGTGTCAAGAATATCCAACACAAACACACAATGGAAACACACACACACACACACACACACACACACACACACACGCACACAGACTGGTGACCAAACAGGAGTCTGTTTCTCACACTTCTACACAGATAACACACCGAGGTGACTTCTGCTTTGTTGGATAAGCTCACTTCCTTTTGATTAGTACAAGCAAACACACACACACGCACAAACGTGCATGCACACACATTAGCGGGTTGATATCAAAAGCGGTCTAACTAATGTGCCACATTTGATTTTTAAACTGGACAGATGGGCCAGATCCTTCATAAATGATTCTTTTGAATCGTAAGCTACATTTTAAATCACTGTTTCAGAGCTGACCAGCACGGTGGAGTAGTGGTTAGCATGTGGGGGTTCAAATCTCAGCACTGGCCTTCCTATGTGGAGTTTGTCTGATCTCTGGATCCTCCAACTCACTCTAATGTGACCCTAATGAGTACAAGTGCTGAAGAAAAAATGGATGGGTGGCATTTTAGAGCTCTAAATTTGATTTTCGACCTCCTGTGCCCTCTAATGGTGCTACAATCCATTTAGCATTGAAGTGCATGTGAATGGTGCAATTTTTTTGTTGAAGTGTTAGGCTGCTTCAACAACGGAAGTTCACCTTCACAAAGCACAAATGACCCCAAGGAAAGTCAGCGTAGAGATTCAAACCTCAAAAACTGTGTGGCAGGTATGCTAACTACTATTACACTGTTTCCGTCACTCCAAAACAATTACAAAAAAAAGTGTATAGACTAACTTGATAATAATATGAATTAATGTCCAAATTTTGTGAGAAAGGGTCAATTTAAAAGAATCTACAACATAATGTCACAAGGTTTATATATGAAATCAATGATGGTTTCTGGCATGCATGTGCAATTAGTGCAGTGGCACGGATGCATCTTTTTACTTACAGTTTTTACATCGGCATTAGGTTGCTCAGTCATGTTTTCTCTCCAATCTTCCCAGAGCCAGCATCAGCAGAGATCCTTTCTATGACATGTTGGCCACCAGGAAGAGGAGGATAGCCAATAAGAAATAACCAAAGGCTTCTTTCAACGTCTCTCTTTTGCATCACTGCCACGTCCAAGGCCAGCAGAATCAGACTTTGACTTGTGGAAGCTGGGTTGAAAGCAGTGAAGAACTACAGTCACAGTATGTGTAACATTTTGGTGGGACATGTCTGGAAAGACTTTGGCACCCTCTAGAGGATATTACATGACATGAGCGACAAGTACTTCCTTAACCTGAGGGTCGTGTCCTGGAGGGAAGCTTCAAAGCTAATTAAATCAGCTGGTCTGATTTGTATATGCAAAACGCACCGATTTACTCAAACACACAACCCTAACACACTCAAAAACGGTTTGGGCTATTTGGCTTTCAGGTGAAATTTCACGATGAACCTAAATGCATTAGTGGTGCCTTTAGATACGAATGAGCCGGCATACGAGCTGCTAACTTAACACACGGTGTAAAAGTAATATTGACGCTACGGTGTTGTAACATTTTAAGCAACTGAATTGAACACGAATGTGAACAAATACAAAAATACAGCCCTCACATGCGTATATTCTTTTCCCTCGGCGTGAAATGACTGCTTGAGAGTGGACACAATCAAGCCGTTTTTGTCCCACTTTTGCCTATTCACGACCAGTGACGTCAGACGCTCACCTGTCTTGTGTCTTAAACGATTTTCCAAAAAGATTATCATTACGTCTGACGTGTGTTTAGACTCGGGGCCCACAATTTGGAAAATTATACGTGTTCCATATTTACGTGCAAAAATCTTCATGGATTGTTGAGCCGGAAGGTATTGAATTCCGCGGTTGTGACGTGGGCGGAATGTAACCAATCCAAAAAGCGCCCTGACTGGCGAACAAGGCGGCGTAAATAAAACTAAATATGTCCACCATACCCAATGCTTTTTTTGTATAAAAGTGGGTTCCCCAGACGGTGTTTCCAAAGCATATTTTCTGCTCGACATAGCCATTTTAAAACGCTCCTTTTCGGAAATACTCGGCAACCATCGGCTCATAAACGGAAGTCCTTGCCTGCTCGTGTTCGCGTTTGTGAGATCACGTGTTATCACGCGAGACGTCTGCCTCAAGAGGACTGGCGTTGGAGCAGAATCTATCTGTTGGTGTGTCTCTGGTGTTCCGTGTTGCGGTTTTAGGAACAGAACACAAACAACACGACCAAAACTGTTAAATTTTTTTATGAAGTGCTGTCAAAGATGAAAAAAAAATCGTGTCCATATACACCGCCTCCTAGTGGCCAGGTCACACAGAGCGTGGGCATAATAGCATCTCTATTCATTTGATTTTTTAGTGTTTTGAGCAAAGGTCGTGCTCACAGAATGGATTAAATTTGCGTTGGATTAGAATATACAGCCGAACAGTTGAACATGTGCTTTCAACGGTTTAGAGGTCAAATTAATATCACCCATTAAATGCATTTTAGGTCATCCTCTAATTCCACCTAAACCGCAAATATCTAAACTTTTTATGAGTAGTGCATTTCATTCGTTGAAAATACATATTCCCTTTGTTGGGATACTGTTTAGCAGATTGGGAATTATTTGCACTACGATATTATTATTTGATGTCTTTAGGCAAGCAACAACTGCATAAACACATTTGATGAAAATCCACCTTTGTGATTATTTCTTTTGTAATTTATTTCCTTGGGGTTTTTTTGGGACAAAATCACCAATTTACAATCTGCCTGTATATGATGTACATTTTTTTGTTTTGTTTTTATGCATTTTGCAAGTGATTGAGAGGCCATTCATCGTTTAGTTGAACACTTTACAATCATGGAGATGTGTGTAAATGACAGCAAGAGAATAAAGATGCAGAATGATACTAGGGGTGTATTTAAAAAAAAATTACAGGATTTTGAAAAAAAAATTAGATGACCACTGAGCAGAGTTCTTTGGTTATTTCATAAACCATAAATATTTACTAATGACTAGATCTAAAAAAACAGATTATAATCTTGCATTAATTTAAGTGTGTATTAACTGTATGGTATCCACATTGATATTACAATCTATTTTGTAAAAAATACAAAACTTTTAACCCCCCAAATATTTAGAATTCATCACTTTCCCATCTATTACAGTTCTGCTTTTCTACACACAAAGACAACAGTACAATTTCTGACATTAACAAAATGTATTTTAAGGCATTTTTACCTTGTACAATGTATAAAGGCTGACATGCTAAATTAAAGGAATAATACAAGTTTTTAACTTCTGTCAAAAAAGTTGCAAAACAAAACACAATCCGTACTCACGGCTGACATAAGTCCAGAGAATATGAGCAGAATTAACAAGTTTGTCTAAAAACAAATAAAGCAAAACATCTACTCAGAATCCTGATACAGGAGTTTTATATATATATATATATATTTATATGTATGTATAAAAGTAACTGATAGTACAGTTCAAAAATTAAATTCACAGTATTCCTTATGACGCTAGAAGACGCAAACTGGATTTTCTGATTTTTCTTTTTCGTCGCCTCCCCCATTGAAAACTGCGATTTAACATGACCTTTTTTTTTTGTTCGGTTTCATTTCTAAACAGATTGTGAGCTGAAAGAAAGCCAAAAAAAAAAGGAATGATTCGGAGAAGAGAAGCAAGTTAAAAAATACTATCGGGTGTTCGAAAAGGAACGAAACAAACGCAGGGGGAAATGTGCTCAAGTCAGTCCAGGCTATCATGGAGGTATCAGTGAGTGAAGCCTTACTTGCGTT